CGTATCACTGGAGAAGGCGAATTAACGTCCGAATCTTTGCGACGAGTGAGTGGCGAATATGCCACGCCATTCTCTGATTCCTTGCGTCGTGCCGGCAACGGTGAAGCAAAATGGATTCCCGAGTCAGGCGCACAGTTCGTCGTCTTCCTTGGCAGCACTGAGCTCACCTCGGCTCGTCTTGAGCTCCCGCGGCGCAGCAGAATTGGACTTTCGGGCACATGCGAACAACTTGCATCTGGTGACGCGGATGTTTGCAGCGTAGAATCAGAACGCACTGAGGGAGTCGTACTAATCGTGGAGCTTTTACGCAATGACATGGGACTGCCTGGATCAAACGACGCTGATTTTCTTTCGGATGAAGGGCTTCCTTCAAGAGTGACCACTGACCGACGGACTGACGCTGGACTCCCTTCGATTTTACGTCGACATGGCGGAGAAACGCCAACTTCTCGCCAGAGCTTCCAATCGGTGCCTCTTTTGTAGATGTTTTCATTATTGCCGGTGGCGTTTTTCCGTGATGTGTTCGAGTAGATCGAGGGGACACGCATTAACGAGACCTGCACTTCGTCAGTTTTTTCGCCATTTCCACTGGTTTTTCGTTGCCACGTCGGTGTTGTTGGCTTATTTTGCACATTCGAATTTTCACGTGAGAGCACCGGCGTTCTGTCGTCATCTTCATGTTCCACTTCCGTCACTATCTCATCCTCATCTTCATCTTCCGTTGAAATGCTATTGACATAGTATCCTGAAATCCAGCGCCTACTTTTTTCGGTTCAGTTTTCTTTAATTTACTTGTTTAAAAACAATTGACTAAAGATACTGAAGAGTAAAAATCCAAGTAAAAATTCATCAAGTTTAATTTCTCGAAAATTCAGCAAAATTTGCTATATAAAATAGGAAATGAAACAAAGAGTGAGCGAACGTTGATGACCTGGACATGTTCGCAACGACCGATGCTTCCATATCGAACACAGCAGTTGCGGCGAGTGTGATATGCCCTGTGAAGA